TGCTTGTTGTATAAAGCCATTTATGCTTTAATGATGCTCTCTTCCGATTTCAGGAGTAGCCTATTTCTGTCATTATGGGCAAAAGTGAACAGGTGACCTAGACAGTCTTCACCAAAGCCAGCCATTTTCACCATTTTTAACTTTCAGTCCCACATAACATGAAAGCATAAGTACCAAATTTATAAAACCCCAGGTATTTCTGCTCTGACAGGAACACAGACTTTCAGAGAACCTAATATTAGTTTCTTCCTATGAGATGCCTTTGGTTTTGCCACTTCAACTTGGTGAAATACCAGAGTGATTTACTCTGCTTTCTATGCCCTCATCATGGAAATGCAAATTGCTGCACAGCAGGCCAGACATTAGAGAAAGTAGGTGCTTTCCAAGGCTTCCAACCTGAGTTCTAGCCTGAGGAGAAGGATAAGCAGCCAGATCTCTGCATCCTTTGAAGTTCATTGTGAGTGTAGAGAATTCTGAATTCAGAAAAGGTCGTGTCCTGGATGAGTTTCTCGTAATTGAGGGACAGCCATGAGTTCTGAAAACTATTTCATTAGTTACCTCAATGTAGGGTCAGCATTAGAGAGAGCTTGATTTTCACAAGAAAACCTACCACACCTTCCCTCCCTGCACCATTTTCTCTGTGAGCAGGGAAAACAGCATAATATGTTTGCATCCTGCAGGGCTTGCTGCCTTTCACCATTTCAGCACCTCTGGAATTCCTTCTCAAGCCAGTGTTTTGAGCTATATGGGAGCTACTGATGCTAGTGGAGAAAGAGAAGGCTTTCTGGTGTGCTGCTGGTGAGCTTCAAAGCTTCCAAGAAATCTGCTGTCCCCCAGCTTTTTGCATGTAGGTGTACTTTGAGAAACTGCTAGCAATGGTTATTGCAAAGTGTTTGCACAGGTTTGGTAGATAAAATACAGCCTGGTAATATGAGACAGCTGTGAGCTGCATTTTTCAAGGAGCAGATGGGTCATGAGTGACCCAATAGTTACTGAGCTAATGAATGCAAGAGAAGGGGAAACTTTCCTTCTACACTGAGACAGACTATCAGGCTCCCTTGACCTGCCCTCCTTGCCTTCCAAGTGAATTGACACCCTGTGTGCCTGATTCAAAAGGCAAGACAGCAGAGCATTTGTTGCCAGTGCAAATTTGCTGATAAGATGGGTTTAAATCAGAGAGATGTGATTTCCTCTGGGGGAGAATGACAGTGAAGTAGAGATGGAGGAGAGGGATGCAAACTATTGCATGATTCCTCTATGGTCACATTGCCCCCGTCTTGCACTTTGTCATTAGCTGAATCACTGGAGCATCCTGTCAAATCAACCTCCTGCACAGATTTTAGAACCTCTGATTGGCACCTGCATGGCACCTGCACAGCTACACATTACCAGTGCGTCTCCTTTTGCCCTGCACAGCCTTTCACAGCTGTTTCTCCCAGTTTCAAGGCACAGTCAGTAGCCCACCATGGCATGAGGCAACCCTGGCTTTAGTTGGGATTCTGTAATGTGACCCAGCATTCGTGTAACAGAAAAGCTTTGCTTTATTCTTTTCTCTTTTCACCGTTAGGCAAATGTTTCTCCATGTTTCCTGTTTATCACAGGCTCTGAGCCTCCCTAGACAGGCTATTCTGAGCTTGCCCTGCTTTCTGATAATTGCATGTGCATTAAAGCAAACACCCCTGCAGGGTTTCTCCTCTCCCCTGTCCTTGCCAGCTCGGAGCTGGACAGCATTCCATGGCTTGCAAACACAGGGCTGCGCAAAAAATGGCATGCCAGGGGCTGGCAAAGCTCTGGGGAAGAGGGCAGAGCAGCATGCTATTTCAGGCCTCTCTTATTTTGCCAATGAGTTCAGATACCTCTCCTTTCCTAGTGACATGATGGCTCCTAGGTCCTCCTGAGCCGTGCATCAGTGACATCGCTATTGAGATCTACAGTCTGTGTCCAGCCTGTATCAATTACTGCCTTCTTTGTAGGCATATAAAAAATTAACAGGATCCAGGGGAGTCACCCATCAGTACTGGTTGCAGCAGTAATTCTGAGAAGGTGGTCTGTTGCATATTTCTCTGAACTCTTGCTTTAAAAGAAGAGGCAGGACACTGCTGTAAGATTTTCTGAGGATGAGCTTTATCAGACTGCTGTGCAGAGAACTGGGAATCTCTAGATCCTAAAGTAATACAACCATTAGTGTCTTGTGCCTTGACGTGGAGCAGAGTCCTGGGCTGCGAGAAGTACAGTAATGACACTTTTCCTTCATAAAACATCCTGCTTGAGACAAGTAGATCAGTTTTGTCCTTGGTTTACAGATAGAAGAGGTAGCAGACTGTGGAAAGCTGACTGGTACAGACAACCCACCACCAAGCTGAACACACTGCAGTCAAATGCTGCCAGGCACATCAAGACAGATGCTCTCTACATACCTGGCTTGAAATTGAGACCTCCAAAATTGTATTCCCCCTTAGGATTTAGTTCCCACGAATTTAAAAATATACAAAATTGTATTCCCCCTTAGGATTTAGTTCCCACGAATTTAAAAATAAAAATATATAGGATTTAGTTCCCACGAATTTAAAAATATACACAGAACCTTTTACACCTATGGTGAAAGAAAAGCAACTTGGGTTGATTCTTTTCAGTTGGTTCCTAGAGTAAATCTGCAAGTCATAAGTAGATATTGCCTTTCTATTCTGATTGTCTGTTACCAAACATAGGCCACACAATGCTGTAGCTGAATTCCCTCCTGCCAAGTGGTAGCTACAAGTCACTGTCTCTTCTCATGCTTTAGGACAGTAACCAAGCTGGACCCTGACTGGATGCTGCCATCCATCACTCACTTGATCTGAACTTACATTGCCACTGAACCAACTGAGAGGTTTCTCTGAAGTGAAACACCAATGCAGTTACACAGCCCATCTGCAGGGAGTTTTATTTTTCATAGGAATACTGGGGTTGGATTGTCCTTGTCATAGCTAGTGCACTGGTCACACTTCCCCATCCAAAAGGAGCTTCATTGGAGTTGCAGTTTCTGAGCAGCTGCAGTACATGTTGCTGATGGTGAATCTCAGTACTACTGGGAGAGTGTCGTGAGAGTGGGTGCTTCTTCTGTTTTGTTTTTCCTCATTTTTGAAGCAAATCCAACTTTTATCAATTATAGGATTGAACAAGCCCTCTGCAAGTATCAGTCCATATCTTGTAAGACAGAAGAGTAACGGGTCTTTTTGAAGAGGAGGCAAAAATGGAATAAACTAGCTACCCCTTGGGTCTGGGGTGAAGTAGCTGAACCATTGAAATCCACCCAGCTTTTGTTTCCTGTTTGTATAAGTGGCTTTCATCAGAGTGCTGGTCATGAGTAAGTTAACACCCACAGACCTGTCACCATCAAGCACTGTGTATCACTGAATTCCTGGCAGTTCTGGCACTGCTGAACTGTGTACATACATGTTTAACTGCATGTGCAGTTAAACTGAAGGAGCTATTTTCAGAGATCCCAAGTGTGGAAGTAGAATCTCTCAGATGACTTTTGACTCTGCAAAGAGAGGAATAAGTGTCTTTGAAAGACTGAGATTGGCACATGTACAAATATACTTTCTTCCATCCTGGTATGTGAGGAAGGCTAAGGATGATGGAGTGCAAAAGTTGCTTTTGCTGTTTTTATGTGATGCTGCAGAGGAAGAGATCTGGGGTGATAACCAATGTGCTGGGAAATCCTCCTCTGCAAGGTGCTGCAAACTACCACTTTCTAATTTCCTGCAGAGGATCTTACTGGCATTCAGGTAAAGTTGTCTGTGTTCAGGCTTAGCAGAGGATGTTCTCTCAGGAAGTTAAAGGACATCAAGAACTAAAGGTGTACAGGGGCAAGTTCCTAATTACTCATCTGATCTCTGCAGGGGAGACATTAAGGGATGGTTTTGTAGTTTGTTCATGGTTTGTTTGTCAGTATAGCAGCTCTGGGACAATCAGTTATTTAAAGCCTGGAAAAAATCCTACCTGGTTGTCCTTGTTTGCTTCTTTAGGTCTTTTTCCTGCCTTTGTGGATTCTTTGAAATTTGGCATGCCCGACTGTGCAATGCTTTCAGTGCATCTTGTTGCAGAGTTTATTTCACATACCCAGAGTCTCCACATTGCTAACTCCTTTCAACTTAGCCTAGGTCAAATCAGAGCAGTTACAGTGTGGTTTTGAGCAGCAGAGCAATTCTGCTAACAGCTGAGGAACTGCACTGACTCCAACTCTAATGAATACCCTTAGTGGTCCTGATAGGAATTTTGGGTGAGAACAGGGCTTGCACTAATTACAGGGACTTAGTCACAACTTGTTAACTCAGCACTGAATACATGCTCTTGGAAGTAGCCACACTTGGGCAGCCTGGGAATTGAGGGAAAGCTCAGTCTTGTGCTTAAGGCTCTGAACACTGCATCTCCAGTAATCCGGTTTAATTTCTTGTGCTGCCTTGTGCTTCTTATGTCACTTCTTATATTTCTTTGCCTTTCTGCGCCTCAGTTCTGGAGCTGTAAAATCACACTGCTGTATGTCTTCTCCCCCACATGCATGGCAAGTTCTTCAGGATGGGGATTTTCTAATATTAATTGCGTGTGCATTTTGTAGAGCAGCCACACCTGTGGCTGTGGGAGGTCAGGAGAGCCCTACGTGACATCTTAGAGATTCTGTACTTTGAGAATATGTCACTGGGTTTGGATTGTGAGGTAGAAGCATCCTTGAATGCTCATGTAACTCCCACAGCTAATTTTCTTTGGTAGATTTGGGACTTTTCTTTCAACCTTGAAATTTTGCTGGTTTTCGGTTCTGCAGGGCAGGGAGTGCTGAGGCTGAATAAATTGAATTTTTCTTGAATTATGTAAGTGCTAAATAAGATACATTGTTACAATTTTCCGTATCCTCTGCATATGAGGAGGAGTAGAAAATGGATAAATGGAAAGAAAATGTGTGACAATACCTAATGTATTCTAAGACCAAGCTTCTAATCTTCTCTTTTTGTTTCTTCCAGGTGGAGCGGGAAATAGCCATCCTGAAGTTGATAGAACATCCCCATGTTTTAAAGCTGCATGATGTTTACGAAAATAAAAAATATTTGTAGGTATTACTGGCATTTGCCAGAAGAAGGGGAAGGGAAGGGGGAAGAAGGGAGGGAGAGAGATCAGGGGTTTGGAACTTGGTAACGTTTCTGAAAGAATGGAACTGGTATGTTTTCACCCTCTGCTGGTGTCTGGTATTTGGCTTTTCTCATGTTCTTTTCTGCACTTCCATAGAATCACAGAATCATTAAGGAAATGTTATCATTGTCCAGCCATTAACTTACTGCCACCATATTCACCGCTAAATCATGCCCCCAAGTGCCACATACACATGTTTTTGAATCACTTCCAGGAATGATGATTCCACTACTTCCCTAGACAGCCTGACCACCCTTTCAGTAAAGAAATTGTTCCTAATATCCAATTCAAACATTTCCTAGTGTGATTTAAGGCCATTTCCTCTCATCCTGTCACTTTTTAACTGGGACAGGGAACTGACCCCCACCTGGCTTCAGCCTCCATTCAGCAAGTTGTGGAGAGTGGTGAGATCCCCCCTGAGTCTGCTGTTCTCCAGGCCAAACATACCAACTCCTCCAGCCCCTCCTCGCAGGACTTGTGCCCTAGACCCTTCATTGTCCTTCCTTGGACATTCTCCAGCACCTCAATATCTTTTCTGGAGTGAGCCTTTTTCTTTACTGTTTCTTTTCTTACTTAAAATAGAGGAAAGAGGACATGCCAGTGTTTTCTCTAAAACAGCAAGAGAGAAGGAATGTTTGTAGCAGTAAGATCTGGAACCATTTTGACTCAAAGCTGTAACAGAGTAAGAGTGGGTAATTTGGATAATCTCCTTTGTCTAACAGTTTTCATTGAAACCCTCAACTCTCACTAAAGGTGTTTTAAATTTGTCCCATCAGCAACAGATTTTGGTTTTAAGGGCCAATGATGGTTCTGCAGTGACAGTTATGTAGCAAAGCTTTTTTTGGTAAGTTTTTTTTTTTTTTTTTTTCCTCCAGATCATTACCAGTGCCAGACAGGGATGTTGTCCACAGACAATCACTTTAGATTGATTTAGGGCACTAAATACATTGTATATGTTGTCAGACAAACAGGCCACATTAATCATGGCACAACAGGACAAAAAACAATGTTCTCCAAATAGAAAAGGGTGACAGTAGGGAACTCAGCTATTTCCAGCTTTTTAACAGATTATTACAGGTAGAAGAGAGTGGTTAAAAATATTAAACAGTTTTTAAAAGCCAACATCCACTGGTGACCTCTTTTTAGTGTCTTAACACAAGAAAGGAATGACTGTTTATCCAAAGAAAGCGTGTTAAATGGAGGTAAAGTCCCTCATGGACTATTCATCCAGTCTTGATACTGTAGCAATGAATTCCTACTCTGAGAAGCGAGGCCTCTCTGCCTAAGGGTCAGCTTAGTAGAGCAGGCAGTAATTTCCTTTGGCTTCCCCCTCCTCCTCTGGGGCAGAGCCTGCCATCCGTGGTGGAGCGCAGTTGCCAGAAGAGCTCGTGCAGGCACTGGGTGGAGGCTGGCTCAGGTGTTTTCAGAGCTGCATGCTGAATGCTCTGTCCTCGGTGGCACAAATGGTCATGGCTCCATGAAGCCCTGTTTGCCACAGAGGAGACAGAGGCCCAGATCTGCTCTGTGTGCAGACAGGCAGCAAAGGGAATCAGGCTTTACAGGAATAGGTTCTCCTTTAATCCCGAAAAGAGAGGCAGAGGATATTTTTTCTGTGTTCAGGTGAAAGGGGGCACGAGACCCCTTTTTTGATTAAAAGAGAGGGAATGATCTTCTTTGTGATGTTGGTTTCTGTGTTGTGTAACCCTGGGTATACACACACAAGTACACACTCCTGCACAAATAGAGGAAACAGCTGATGGTGGCAGTGGTGACAATGTATGAATACATGCAGAAGAAAGGCCATGAGGGGATGGACAGTAGAGGTGCTGAAGCTTTCTTCTTGCTCTGAATGCCTGTGAAGCCAGAAGCTCAGCTTTCCTTCTTTACCCCATAAGATCTGGGTGCTGTTTCGCTCCTTGTGAAAAATATCTGGTGCTCAGAGGAGTGGGAATGGTGTTACTTTATTATTAAAAGAAAATGCTGCATTTATTGGCAGGAAAACATCTTCATGATGAAAATCACCTTGAAAAGGAAAGCATCCCATATCTTTAAGCTATGTCTGGATATCCTGGCTTCTACAAAACTTGAGCTCCAAAGCGTGCTTTGCCAGTGGCCATTTAGCCTTTAACAATCACTAAGTCTGCTTTGTGCTGTAGCTCCTCTGCCTGTAAGATTAAGCTGTCTGCATCCCCCTGCAAAGGCACCAAATCCCTCTGCTGAAAGACACTGACTCTGAAAGAACAAATGACTGTTAATTAAGTTTCATTTTTTATTAGTCGCTATTTTAAAGAAAGGGCACAATGCAGAGCTTCTGCCAAGCCTCCACGTTCAAAATTAGAAACAGCTGTGGCCTTTGATAAATCTGAGAGGTGGAAGAGAGAGCCTGTGGAGGGGTGAGGTGTTACAAGTGCGTGGGGGCTGAGAAGTGTCTGTGCATGTACCTTCCCATATAATAAGACACCGTGACCTCTGGTTCTCACCAGCATCAGGAAAGGGATTGCTTTCTGGTTGTGGCAGCACCTTTCCATCGTGTATGCCATGCCAGCAGTAGCAGTAGTGGCACGGATTCAGAGAAGCTCATGAATTATGGGTGATATTTCAGAAGCCAGAGTCTAATCACAATGCAGCACTGGGGAGCATTTCCTCGATAACTGTTAATTTCACAAATCATGTTTGACTTTTAGTTTGTGATTTAATTTGTGACAAGGGGCTTTGGTTGAGTAGATTCCTAATGCAACCATGAATCAAATCCTTTTTCCACAGTTTATTTAACACTGAGAATGATTTCTTAAAAATAATAATAAAAATCTGTTAGCATATGTGTGTTAGCCAAGCACTCTTTTTCTGTTTATTTTAGTAGGGTTCTTTTTTTCCAAGATAGTTGGACAGGTAGATATAGCTATGAAATCTATTATTCCACCTCTTTATCCATCATTTTAAGTTGTCTTATTTAGTAAGACTGTGGACTACACATCTAGGTGTGGTGGGGAAACAGAGGGCACTGTGGCTCTCTGTAAGTGACATACAGCCTCAGATATATATTGTGTTGGCTAAACAAGCAATATTACTGACAGCTGAATTATTTCATATTTGTTGTATGATCACACTGATGGCCTCCAAGCAAGATTGGGAGTCCACAGTAATAGATAATTTAGAAATAGCTACAGACAATCAATGCCTTCATCTCTCCCATCATATAATGTCAATAGACAAAACAGCCAGGATGGGGATTCGTCCTCCTTTTTCTAAAGATCAAAATGAATCAAAGTGGGCTGGTATGGGGAATGATCAGTGGGCTACCAAAACTTGTGTGTGCACCAGTCAGTTTGACTAAGGAAGTGCAGACAGTCACGAATTTTAGGGAAATACAAATCATAGAATCATCACAGAATAGATTGGGTTGGAAGGGACCTTAAACATCATCCAGGTCCACCCCTCCCCTATCATGGGCAGGGAATCCTTTGATTAGACCAGGCTGCTCAGAGCCTTACCCAAGATGTTGAACACTTCCAGGATGGGGCATGTACTAAGAGAAGGAGCAAGATAGTAACAGATTACAACAAAATTTTGGTGTGTTCTGTAAGGCATACTGGAGGGACACACTCCTTTGGTGATTTCTGCATTGCAGATGAACTATGTGAACTTGGGGGATGATCCTCTCTTCTCTGTGCCCTGTATAGAAAAGGTCTTTCCTGAGCTGCCTCTACACGGAGTTTTATTTATTGTGTTTTATGCAGTACATTCTTTGGCTCATGGAAAAGCAGTTGTCCCCTATTGGAGGAGCTGTTAGCATGGCAAGCTAAGGGCCACTAGACAGTCCACAGGAGATGGAACTTTCTCTCCAGATGGGATCGAGTTAACTGATACAGTTCTGTTGCAGAACTCCCAACAGGGGCAGCATTATCCATTTTGATCTCATTTGATTAACTATTTAGTTTCAGCTGTCAGGGGCTTGGTGGGGAGTGGAAATAAAATAGAAAAAAAATACATACTACAACCACTCTATGCACTTTTCTTTCAGATGGTAATACTGGTATTTTTTTATTCCCTTGCTATTGATGGCTGTGTATATATTTCTGTAAATGTCTATGTCAAGATGCATACGGATATTTGTGTATATATGTGTGGATTTATGTTGAATGATTTTCAAATCTTCACATTTATGATTTCAAATTTCAAAAATTTTGGCAGCATTTATTTTATGTCTCTGTCATCCAGTTTGATCAGCATTTTAAGCAAGAATCTGTTTTGAGTGGAGGAGTGGACACCAGACAATTGTTCTCTGAAGTGTGCTGTGCATTTCTCAGCATCTTTTTCAAATATAAGTGCCTTTCTCATCTTTCATCAGTACAATGCTATCACTGGGCAAGTGCCCAAATCTCATTTCAATGTAAACAACACACCACCTCCTGATTTCAGAGATGAAGGTGCATCACAATGAGCCAGATAAGAAAATTAAAATGTCCTCCTAGCTGTGCACAACTCACGTTTCTGGCTCATACAAAATCAGGTGGCAGCAGGAGTCAAGGACTTACAGCTCTGGTGGTGTCTGCAGAGGCCTTTGTGCTGCCTGTCCTCTCCTGTAGGGTTTTCCTGTAATTCTGTTTCTTTTTGTTGAAAACTAATTGTGAGGTGCCAGAAGACGCAGAAAAGATTAAAAAAAGGTTCTGTGTGTTCTTGTTAGTGGTAGGCCAAGACTTTGCCATTCAATCCATCTGCAGGGAAACCTGTCTAAAGTAGAGGGAGAGTTCAGAAAGTCAGAGTGACTCTAAAGGCTCAACACTGAAAATTAATTTTGTGGTAGGTGTGCACCTTGGGAGTGAGGCTGGGGGGTGTCAGGTGCTGTGATACAGGGAAAGAAAATAAAACAGGATTGGAAGGCAGAATAGCATTCTACCTGAGTCTTGATTAGTACTAAGG